TTTCTCTACCTACCAGTGGGTTAACTCCATTTTCTTCCACTGTAGATGGGTTTTGCCTGAATGGCAATTGACATGGACTCTGACAACTTCTGAGTTTTAGGTTTTTAAGTTTCAGCCACCAGCAGCTACCATTTTCTCTGAATCCCAAAAGTCCCAGGTAAAGGCTCTGATTGGCTCAGTGTGTGCCCAGTATTTCCTCTGGAACAAGAAGTTGAAGCAGAAGTTGAGCAACATGAAAGCCTTGTAGTTCTATTGGTGCAATTCAAAGAACAAAGGGTTGCTTTTCCCTGAAATGTGTGAAGAGCAGGTTGGGAGATACTGTGTAGGTAAGACACGATATTTAATATGCTATTTACCAATATCCACTGGAAAGCCAACATAAAACACTAAATCTACTCCCAATGTGGCTCTATTCCTGTCTGCAACAAAAATAACTACCCAAACGAACATAACAAAAAGGACCAGAAAGCTCTTCTCATCGTTCACTTTTAATCACAAGATTCAATCTATTTAGAAACAAAGTTAACATGGACAGAGAAAAAAATCTCAATATCCTAAACCTACCCACATCAAATTTTTAAGATTGAAAGCAGATGTCCAAGCCTGAAAGACAATGAAATTAGGGGACTCTGCCTACATGTGAATGAAGGCATAGCTGTTTTGGATGTCTACATGAGTCACTATAGCAGAATACAAATGCTCCTCCATGGGTCTCAATAAACACAATCTAAGTTGAAAGTATTGAAACTTGAAAACGCATATAATATACATAACCTACTGAGCATCATAGCTTAGCCTAGCCTACCGTAAATGTGCTTAGAACACTTACATTAGTCTACAGTTGAGAAATTATCTTGAGTTTCACCTCAAGGGTCATCACCTTCCTCTTCTTCTCACCTGAAGCAGGAGACACAGATGGGCATTTTGTAGACATCATGGGATGCAAAAACACAATGTCCAAAAACTGCCGGCAGCACAGTGTACTGTAGATATAGGTTGTTTACCCTTGTGACCTCGTACCTGACTGGAAGCTTCAGTTTGCTGCCACTGCCTGGCACTATGAAAGAGTATCATATAGGGTATTGCTAGCCAGGGAAAAGAGCAAAATTCAAAATTCAGAGTCCAGTTTCTACCGAATGCATGTAACTTTCACAAGAATGTACAGTCAAAAAATCCTGTTAAACCATCATAAGTTGTGGACCACCTGTACTCACAAAAACTCCACTCCTTTCTGAAAGCCTGTGAAAGAATTAATTATATTTAGACCCGATACTTCCAATTATTTTAAGCAAAAATATGTGTGCATTCCTCTTTCAAGCTTAAATTATTTGAACAATTACCTCAATTCTCTGCTTCCCAATGCCTGTGGTGGCTAATTTTGTGTCAGCTTGGCTGGGCTAAAGGATGCCCAGGTTGCTGGTAATATATTACTTCTATGTGTGTCTGTGAGAGTGTTTCCAGAGAAGATTAGCATTTGCATCAGTAGGCTGAGTAAAGATCACCCTCACCAATGTGGGTGGGCATCACCCAATTTGTTAAGGGCCTGAATAGGACAAAAAGGTTGAGAAAGGGCAAATTTGCTCTTTGCTTGAGTGGTGACATCAATCTTCTGTTCTCAGATGTCAGAGCTCCTGGGTCTTAGGCCTTCAGACTCGCACTAAATTACACCAATGACTTTCCTGGCTCTCAAGTTTGCAGATAGAGGCTTGTGGGCTCTTGGCCTCCATGATTGCATAAATCAATTCCTATAACAAATATCCTCTTATATGTATTTATATATATCTTATTGGTTCTATGTCTCTGGAGAACCCTGAGTAATACACAACTTCACAATAAAGTTAAGATTTATTATTATGTAGTTGATTTGAGCATTGTAGATAAATGTGATAATTCAATTCCCAGAATGGAATTCTTCTATTTGCCATATACTGATTATACAAACAGGCTAATCACCAACTGTGCTGTTCATGTGTGCCGTGTGCTTTTTTTTTTTTAATATTTGTACTGTGTCTACACACTCAGTTTAACTTAAATCCCACAAAGGAGATAATGTTTAATATAACTCCAATCTTTACTCCTCAAAATATTTTTTACTGATTATCACAACATCTCAAGATTTTACTGTCATTAAGATAATTTAGCATTTTAGGGAATTTGTTGTTTATTTTTCAATTTGCTTAACTCTTCAGATAATAATAAAATGGAAGCAATAACCAATAAGAAAATTATTCCTGCTAAGTAATAATCACACACCAATTACCTTAAGGGAGTAGTCTCATTCTCCTCTTGTCTGCCCTTAGTTCCTCTAATTATCTCATTTTGGAAGCATATAAACTTTATAAAGATTTAATGTACTTCAAAATACCATTCTAATTGTTTATATTTTCCTATTAAGCTCCACTAATAGAGTTTATGAAATTTGGGAGAGCAAATAGATAATTCTTATTCTATAGAAACTTTTAACTAAAAAACGTACTTCTCTGAGAGTACCATTTTAATCATTATGGGTTGGTCTGTGCTTATTTTAACAGACCGTTAAAAGGGCATCTCTTTGTATAATGAGGCTTTTACACTAGGTTTTTTTGGCGTGATGATGGAGAGATGTCTAATCTGGATAAAATTACTTCTGCTATGTCCCAAACTCTGTTCAAGGGAGAAGTCTCTCAGAGCTGTCCCAGGTGCATTTTGTGCAACATGTATTCTTGTGTGTGGCTTAAAATGATTTGCAAAACTATAACACACTTTGTAATTTGGAGGGTTGATTGTTGTAGTTCCACTGCTCCAGAGTTATGATTCAGAGTAGATTAAAGAAAGACAGTGGCCCCTGATGGAGGCCTGTTGTTAACGGATCTAAATCAGTAAGGCAGCCTGCAGGAGAAGACTCTGAGTTTAGAAGCAATAGGCATTTCTCACAACCTGACCATTAGTGGGTGGTTGCAAGTCCTCTACCAAATTTTATATTGCTTGTATATTTACTACTTGAGCAGACACAAAAATCTTTCATTTCTGTAATGTGTGACACCCTACGCTATGGCCTCAGACACTCCAGATGTACCATGCTTGAATGGTTCTTTCTGAAATGGATTCCAGGTCAGCCACTTTCTAATTGAATAAGGTGACAGAAACAATCATTAGATCAGGGGGACCCAGGTCCTAAACAAGTTCTAGACTTAAAGTGATGCTTTGAAAGTGTTGAGCAAATGCACTTGGCAGATATTTATGTGGTTCATGGGTTCATGGAACGTCCCAGAGCTCATAAAATATTTCTAGTCAACAAGAGATCTCGAATGCCACTTACGAGTATTTTTACCAGGGGGGGAAAAACAACATTCCTTTTGTCAGTTGACACCTTGTGTTATTAGAATATACTTAGGATAAATATTTGAAATGTTGGCGTAGTCATTTTGGAATGTGGATTCTAAATTGCAGTACTTCAAGTACTAGCTAGCTGTCCCTAGGTTGCAAATTCAAGTTAATTCACACATAAAAACACACACAGGGCACACACTCATAAACACAGATCCACATACAACATACTATTATTTACATGGAAATATTTTCAAGTAAATAGTTGAAAACACAGAAATTATAGCAAGGCAATAAAACCAAACCATATTCCAGAACCTCCATAGTCTAGAATTCTTTAGTTATCACCTTTTCTCCCCTCAACAGAGCCACATGTCACCTCCTCCTCTGTATCCATAACCCAGGGCACGCAGGAATAATCTGGGTTCCTGAATGCACTCTCCTTCCAGTCTTTTACCATTGACCTTGAATGCAAAATTTAGCCATTGATAAATTATAATTGGAAGAAAATGATGAGTTAGTGGTTTCTGTGTTTCATACTTTATTCCTTCTACTATCTCAATTCTTGCTAATCAAGAACAATTGTTGGGGTGGGTGGAAGGCAGCAGAAGGAATCAGAAGAGAGTTACCCTTTAGTTACATAGTATCAAACAATTAAATACCAAATTTGGCTCTTCCCCCTCTCTTACTCTTTCCCTTTGATTTCATCAAAGTATCAGTGATACAACAGGTTGGTTTGGCATTGAACACTGAATGAAGAAAGGTAGGGAGCCACACTCAAATCTCTTTCTATTACTGAGGCTCAAATATACAAATGCTTTTTGGTATACACCCTAAATTTCATCAGTGTAGCATATCTTTTATGACGCTGGCCCTCTAAAAATGAGACTTCAGAATGCTCTTTTTACTTTTGTAATGCTGAGAATGAGTTTCTGGAATAGTTTAATCAAAAACTTCTCCATGGAAACAGCAGGTGACACATGCCATAGCATCCTTCCTAAAAGTTTGCAGGAATGTCTCTCACTAGATAGGGGAGCTTTTGAATAAGGGACCTGGGTCTTGCTCATTTTGGCATCTTCACCACTGAAGATTTCATAGGTACTCAAAAATATACTTTGAATAAAAGAGCAAGTGAGTGAACAATTGAGCCAATAAATAAATATCAGCTTGTAGAAATGAAAGAAAAGTAGGGTGGTAAAAAAGCCAAATGAGATCATTTTAATTACTGACCAGTAAGGGATGAATGAAATCTACTTTTTTTCTCCTAGAAATAGAAAAATTAGCATATTTTTACTTCTTCCTTTAGAAATCTATATCCTTGAAGGTGAGTAGAATAAAATGATTTGTCTTGTGAGGGTGCCTGTAAGTAAATTTGGTTAAATATAAAAGTAAAGATGTATTGTTACTTTTTCTTGTTTTGAGCAGCCAAGTATACTGAGCAGTGACCTGAGGGAAGTGAGAGAGAGAGGAGTGAGGATATCTGGGTAAATACTGGTCTAGGCCGATGAGTTGCAAGGGCATGGACCTTGAAGCCTATTCAAGAAGCGGTGATGGGGGCAGTGAGTTGGGGAACGTAGAGGGAGAAGCTTTCAGAGAGCAAACTGGGGAAGGACTTGGCATTTCACTGTGAGTGAGGTAGGAAGGCTGAGCAGCTTGAGTAGAGAACTGTAAAAATTGACTTACATTTAAAAAGGATCGTTCTGGAGACTGTGATATCAGCATAGAGACACAAGAATGGGAGGTCAGAAACCTGCTACAGGGCACTGGAGGTGGGGTTCTTGTTGAAAGAGATGGGAAAACAGATGACAAAGATCACCTAAGGAGATAACAAACACAGAACAACACTGATGTGATAGAGGTTAGGAGCTGGGGTCCTTAGGGTCAGTCTTTCTTAGGAAGTCGCATTTTAGATTAGTGCTAAAGATGAGACAACCCAATGGTATGATTATGCAAGGTATGCAGAGGCAGAGGAGTCTTGGCCAAAAAATAGCAAAGGTGAGCATTACTCAAACAAACCATGCAGATAGCACATAATGACTTTGCAGCCAATGGTAAACCCATCAAGCCAAAATTTGAACCTTTCAATGGAGTTCAAGTTTGGGAGGTGTGTTCTATAGAGCAGAGGCTTCAGATCCAGGCTAATTTGACTTCATTTCACAATGTTCCCCTTATCACTTGTATGGCCCGAGATCAGTCACTAAACTTACCTGAGTGTCACTTTCCTCATATGAAATTGGGGATAATAAAACCTATCAGACAGTGCTGTCATGAGGAATAAAGGATAACACACATAAAGTAGCTAGCATGTCTCCTGATGTGTATTTTGTGTTCAATAAATATTATTCTCTCTTAAAACAAAGAAAAGGAAAACGTGTCATAGTTAAATAAGACCAAGATGTCTTTTCTTTGTAGTAAACAATGCTAATCTGGACCACAGGGTACATTCCCCCCTACTTCTCACTGTCTTGCTTCACATACAGATGGGTTCTGTCAAGCCACTATTAGAGGGGGTGTGTGGCTTTGCACTTGATGGTTGTATAGCAGGAATGCTGAGTAGGCCCCCTTCCTTAGCCTAGCCTTCCTTATGGGTAACAGTTCACCTCTAATTAGGATGCTCACCTAGGGAAGAGGGTTCTTTGATAAGCTGAAGAGGAAATATCCCAGGCACAAGTCCAAGACAGGCAGAGAGTGTGGAGGCCACAACTGATGTGGCGTTAGGGCTAAATGTCTGCAACAAAACTTATTTTTTTATTTAACACAAAACCTTAAGCTTAGTGATCCATAATTTCAAAGCCAAATATTAAATAAATGATTTAAAATTTTTTGTTATTTTACTCTGAAAAAGTATTTTTAACACTTCAGTAGGTAGTGTGAATCTCTGTCTATGCACAAACTTCTGTGCTTAAGGAATGTAACCTTTGTTTTTCTATAACTCAGTAGAATTCTGTTTCAAGACCTCATTCTCCTGATGACAGGAACTGAAATCTCCATCAGTGTAAGTCCCTCCCCTTTCCCCCCAGGATAGCAGCTATGTTCCACAGCTCATGTTGCAGAGCACAGCGATGCCTGATTCCTGACTACTGTTGGTCCATGCAGATGTCTTCTATGATATCAGTTGTTTGGTCTGGTCCTGGGTCAGAGATTCCTGCAGGTTGCTATGGTGCTATCCTTTGTTCCAGGTCTGACGCTCTCTGCTGCCTCATAGCCCATTTTGGGAGCATGAGAAACCATTGGCTGCTCTCCCTGCTTACTCTAAAGCTATGGAAACTGAGGGGTGGCATGAGCAAAGGGCTGTTTCAGGCATGAACCACACAGCCACTTCCATTTTAGTGTTTCTGGGGGCCCCTTCCCAGGAATCTCACCCAGTTCTCAGCTCTCTCCAATTCCCTCTGATTTTCTTCTATCTAGCCTTTCCTGCTCAAAGGCTACAAACTGCACTAGGCATTCTCCTGGCTTATCCTCTTCCTGTAATAGTAATGAAAAGATGCTCAGTTGCTCTAATTAGAAGGAGTTGGTTAATGAGAACTATCTTGGGAAAAAAGCATTGATTAATGTTCAAAATATTACTTTGCCTCACTTCTATAGCAAAATAATTTTGGCATAACCATAACTTATGTAGAAAAAAGTACAATGAATGAAATACCTTTTATCAACTTTAATCAAAGCTGGTCATAAGTGTGGAGAGAGGAGGACAGCAGTGTGAGGGTCAGTTTTCATTGCTGTATCTCTAACGTGTCTCCTGAGTTTGCTTCCTCAATGTGCTTTGAAAGACAAACTTTTTTTGAGTGATTCAGATCACCATGATTTAAAGTTTGCCTCCATCTCATATTCTTAGATGGCTTTCATCTAAATCATGTCCCCTAGTCAAAAAAAAAAATTGTCACAAGCAAATTGGTTTATATTTATTTTGCACTGGTAAATCATGGTCCTAGAGATTATGATTATGAAAGACTCAAATATATACTGTATTAGCACTCTTTTAGCCAAAAGCCACAGAAACCTAATTTAAAATTCTGGAGCTAAAAGGAAAATATATTATGGGCTTACATACTTGGAAGAAGCTTGATTGTGCATATCAAGATTCAGTGACCTAAATGATATTACTGGAGTTTTCTTTGTTGTCTGTCTCTTCTGTCTCCATCTTTTAGCTCTTCCTTCTGCATGTAGGTTCAATTCTCCAACTTTCTGTGGTGGGAGAGATGACCAAGTTTATATCTTTATAGCCTGAGATTCAAAAAGATAAAGGACTCTTTTTTTTCTTCTCTTAGTTTCCAAATATCAATGATCTGGAAGGCTTATACTTTCTTGAGTCATGTGTCCATGATGAATTCAATCACTGTAACCAGAGAGACGGAGCACTCTGATTGGCTGGCCTTAATCACATGCTCACAGCTATAATTGACAGCTCTACCAGGACCACAGAGAATGTAGGAACAATTATTTGTAATAGAAAAAGCAGTTTTCTCTTACCAGGAGAATGAAGAAGGGCAGCAACAACAAAACAGATCTCCAAATGGGAAGAGGAGGGTAGATAGACCAAGGTTCTCTTTTTGTGTTTTTTTCCAAATCTGTTTTTTGGGCTCTGTTCACATTTATGACAGTTCATGCACTATGATTGAAGGCCCATGATACCCAAAGCACCATGTAAGAGAAGACAATGCCTATTTCCATATCCCTCAACTAGATTTTCATCTTGTTTTTATAGATGCTGCATGGATTTTCTCATTAAGACATATTTTGTTATTTTTCTCCTCCCACCTACTCCTCTATTCTACGTTACCACATACAAAGAAAGGGGCTTTTGTGACTAAGCTTGCACAGGGTTGAACAGGCTATTTACTAAGCCAGCGAAGGTGATAACAAATATCTGTTTGGGTGGGATTTGATCTGGTGTGTTTAAAAAAATTATTTCTAAGTTTCCTTGGAGGTAACATCATTCTGGGTGGAAAAAAAAAGAGCTGAACAGCAGAACCCTTCATCATATATCACACTCATATCTCAGAATCAAGTTTCTCTTCCTCGTTTTGTTGCTCTGGCATGACACATGCTCCTGCCAAAGTCAGAATTATCAGTGATATGGAGAATGAGACAAAATCAGATTTACTGTAGCCTGTGGATAAAGTATCTCCAAATCAGGCAGAAAATGTCAATATCATTGACCTCAAGGGAGATATATGGTTTTTGCACAATGTAGCTTTGGGATCTTCAGCCAGTTGCAAAGCATCGAAACAGCAGCAGAGAGGCCTTTTCTCATGACCAGAATGTAAAGTGCCATCATTGATCCAGACTTAGGAAGCAGTAGACATAAAGCGAAAAATCTGAAATTCTAGCCCTGGTTCTTTGTCTTCCTCTCTGAGGGTTCTTACTTAACCACTGGACCTATTTCTGTATCACTTCCTTCTTTATTTGATATAAATATGATGACAGCAGTTGTCATGGGGTCTGGACTAGACATTGCTATAAAGTTTCCATTAATAATATCATGATGATTAGTTTTGTGTATTCATTTGATTGGGCTAAGGGATGTCCAGATAGCTGCAAAACGTTATTTTTGAACTTGTCTATGAAAGTGTCTGTAGAAGATATTAGTATTTGAATCAGTAGACTGAGTATAGGTCTCACCAACACCTATGGGCATCATCCAATCTGTTGAGACTCTGAGTGAAACAAAAAGGTGGAGGAAGGGTGAATACTTTCTCTGCTGGAGCTGAGACATCCACCTTCTGCCCTCGGACATCCCTGATCCAGGTATGAGGCCTTTAAATGAAGTCCAGGATTTATACCACCAGTCCCCCAGTTCTCAGGCCTTCAGGTTCTGGCTGGATTATACCACTGGCTTTCCTGGTTGTCTGGCCTGCAGGTGGTAGACCATGGGAGTTCTTGGCCTCCATAACTATGTGAGCCTATCCCTATAATAAATATCCTCTTATCTATGTCTATATATCTACATCTACATCTATATTTATATCTATGTCTATGTCTATATCATCTATATCATCTATACCTATCTCTCTATCTCTGTGTCTCTATCTCTATATTATCTATGTATCCTATCAGTTCTTTTTCTCTGGAGAACCCCGAATGACACAAATATCATCATTTAATAGTTCTCACATGATATATGTACCTTTCCAAACACTTTTCACATCTGTTATGCCATTTAGGCTTTTTAACATCCCAGCCAGGAGAGTATTTTATTTCAACTTTTAAGGAAGAAAACGAATAACTACAGAAGTGGGGTGACTTCTCTACAAGCCTTAGAGTAATATGCAAAGTTCCAGGACAAAACCTCTGTTTCTATACTCTTCACACAGTATTTGTTCATTTCCTTCTTTTTAGTTTCGTTATTATTTTATATTATTCTTATACTTTCTTTGCTAGTAAAACCTTTTTTTACTCTAAAGCCATAAATTTATCTTTCTTCTGTGTACTCAGTATTTCTTTGCAGAAAACTAGTAGGAGCTAATACTTCATGAGCATTTACTACATGGAAAAACCTATGCAAAGTGCTTTACAAACATTGTCTCATTTATTTCTGGCTGTAACTCTATAACTTAGGGACTCTTCTCATTCTCATTTTACAGAGGATGACATTAAACCTTAAAGAATTTAAAAAACTTGCTTATAGTCACACAATGAGAGTCTGAGCTCTTAAATACTCTGAGATACTGCCTTCTTGGTCTATTCCAGTATCTCTTTCCAGCTTCCTCAAAAAAGGTGGATTAGGTAGTTTACCCATAGGAGACAGTTACTTTCTTCCATATGCCAAGTTTTTTTCTTGTATTTCCACGTTGTTATCCCCCTCTTCTTTTAGTTAGGGCATGCCAATTGAACATATCTATCTTACTTTGTTCATTTTCAATTTAACAGAACAAAAAATGTAGGAAAATATATTTTTCTAATTTATTGGTTAGTAAAATTACATAGGTTTCAAGTGTAAAATTCTGTAATACATCATCTATATATCACATTGTACGTTCATCACCCAGGGTCAGTTCTCTTTCCATCACCATATATTTAACCCCCTTTACCTCCCACCTCCCCCCTTACCCTCTGGTAACCACTGAACTATTGTCTGTGTCTATGAGTTTTTGTTTCTTTATTTGTTTGTCTTGTTCCTTTGTTGCTTCCAGTTTTACATCCCACATATGAGTGAAGTCATATGGTTCTCAACTTTTTCTGACTTATTTCGCTTAGCATATTAATCTCAAGATCCATCCATGTGGAAAATCTTTTGAATTCTATCATACCATCTCACTTCTCAATTTCCCTGAAGAATATAGTCCATGCCCAGGCTTTACCTTTTACCTAAATGCTGACTGATGACTCCTAAATACAGTGTCTTGAGGGATATTAGGAAGGCTGCTGATTAAAAAAAGTATATGCCTAATAAGTTTGGAAGACAATGGATTTCTAACCTGACCAGGAAGGAAATCTTAGTGTATTCACCTTAGCCTAATTTGAAATAAGTGTGGTAGATAGGAAGGCTCCAGTTAGGGGCTTAGTAGCTAGAGTTAGGTGACCCCCTGTATCCCACTGAAGTAAGAATTTACCTACCATGTGTGTTCTACTCCTCCTCAGTGACCTATAAATTACCTATTTCCTTTGAAATCTCAGACACTTGCCCCACCCCCCCACCTCTTCTTTGTCCAAAATGTCATGTATACCCAATTTTGCCTCATTGTCTTGGGAATTTTCATGCTTATGTGAATTCCCTGTGTGCATGTATTAAAATTTTGATTTTCTCCTGTTAATCTGTCTCTGTTAATTTGATTATTAGCCCAGTTAGAAAAAAATTAGAAGGTGAGAGGAAAAGTATTTTTTTAGCTATTTTTTTCTTAGCCCTCACACTGTAAACACATATATCAAAGAATTCCAATTATCCCTAAACCAACTATACATAAAGTAAATAATCCCAAGCCACCCCACAATCAACTTGCTGAAAACCAATGATAAAAAGAAAATCTTAAAAGAAGCCTGAGAAAATTAATACATTATATACAGAGGGACGTGATACAAGTCACAAACAGAAGACAATGTAGGATGACGTTTTTAATGACTAAAAGAAAAGAACTCTCAACATAGAGTTCTATAACCTGCAAAATAGGTTTAAAAAATAAAAGCGAAATACAGATAAATTTTTTTAAAGAGAAATAAAGCTGTGAAAATTTCTTACCAATACATCTGCATGCAAAAAATTTTAAAGGAAGTTTTTCAGGCAAAGGAAAATAATATAGGATGGAAATTTGTATCTACATAAAAGACTGTAAAAGCATGGGAAATGGGAAAGACGTGGGAAATAAAACATAATTTTCTAATTTTTAGTCTCTTTAAAAATGGTTGACAGTTTAAAGCAAAAATGATAACAGATGAGATTTATAACTATGTAGATGTGAAATGTATGATAATAACACAAAGAAGATGAGGGAGGAAATGAAGGTATATTGTTCTAAGGTTCTTATACTCTACATGAAGTGCAATAATATTACATGAAGATAGACTGTGATAAGTTGAAGATGTGTATTGTAAACCCTAGAGGTGATTGAAAAACTAATAAAAAAAGGTAGGGCTAATAAGCCAATAAAGGAGATAAAATAGAAACAAAATATTAAGTTAATTTTTAAAAAATTAGGAAAAGAAGGGAAAATACTAGTCCAATCATCTAGGAGAGAGATAATTTCTTGGAGTGTGGTAGTTGTACTGGATGTTGTGAGATGGGACAGAGTTTGGGATATACTATAAAGCAGAGTCAATGAGATGTATTAATGGAGTCGATGTTAGATGTGAGACTGAGGGGAGTCAAAATGTCTCCCAGGTTTTTGAGACAAAGCCAATGGTAAATAAACAGAGTTGCCATTTACTGATATCAGTAACATTAGGAGAAGGACAAGTTTATGAGGTAAATTTATAAGTTGAAATTTGGACATTTTATGTTGAGATGCGTATTAAAGTGGGATGGGGGAATAGGCAGTTAGACATTTAAGTCTCCCATTCAGGGGAAGAGGTGGGGCTGAAGACACACATTTGGAAGTCATTCATTAAGAGGTATTAATTAGGTAAAAAAAGTTGGCATGTCAGAAGCTTATATTTTTCCTTTTATATAATATAGTTACTGGAGAAAATTTTAAGCTGGGAAATGACATGGCCATATTTGCTTTTTGAAAAAAAAACTGCTATGATATTCTTGTGAATTATATTTTGGGGATAAAAAAGAATGTAGAAATATCATTTAAGAAGCTTTTTCCAGTTTAAAAAAAAATGGAGATGAGGGCTTATACAAAGGCAGTGGCAATGGTTGGAGAAAATGGTGTAAATTTGAGATATAATTGGGAAGCATAATTCACCAGGTTAGGTGACAGATTAGATTTCAGAGATGTTAGGTGGGGGTGAAGTCTAGGAATGCTGTCTTGAGCAACTGACTGTTTGGATGGCTCACCAATATGAGAGGTACCCAGGGCAATCATGTAATTTGCCATCTAAAACTGGGACACTTTTAAGGATAAAGGGGGAACTCAGGGCATAGGGATAACCAAGGGGTACAGGAATAGGAACAGTATCTGACTTCCGGGGTGGGGGTTGGGAGTGAACATGAAAATTTCAGCTATGGACACACAGTTTGAAGGGATTGTGTGATGTCCAAGGATAGAGAGCTAATATACCATTGGATAAATAGGTCTAAGCTGTAATGAGTGGTTTGGACTTCAAATTGTTTTACAGGAAGTTGCTGAAGCCATGAAGGTGGACCCAAAAACGTTTATAAAATGAGATATGAATTGAGGACTGATTCTTGTCCTTTTTTATGTCTTGGTTTACAGAAGCTGGGAATACGTGTGTTTGTGTGTGTGTGTGTGTGTGTGTGTGTGTGTGTGTGTGGTGGGGGGGGAGGGGTTGTGTTGCATATTGACAATTTCCACCAGATAATAATAGTTCTATTGAGGAAATTCAGTATAATAACTTACAAGAGACTAGAGGTGATACCAATTGAACCAGCATGGTACAAAGGACATGTTTTTTTTCATGAAGTTCAAACACAATTCAGTTTATGCTCTCCAGAGAGAGCCTAACCTTCACATGTGATGATGAGAGCTAAAATTTATGTGGTGCTTATGCCAAGCACTTGAAGGGAACCAGAGTTTGCCACCCCAAAATATGCCTTTTTAGGATACTGATTATTTTAAGTTGGTTATTTTTAAGACACAAACGACTCAGGAAAAACCTTGGCCTTCCTCCTAACTTCCTAAAAGAATTTAGGTAGAGGAATTGCTTCAGGAAGGGAGCCATCATCCTAGATAACTGTAGTTTAATATGAACTAGGTGTCATACACAGGGAAGAATCTCGCAAGGCTTGTTTGATCAAAGTCCCCTCTGTGTCCCATTGTCAAGGACGCCCCAACAAACACTTATTTATTAAACATATGCTTTTCCGTCTCCATGTGAATTGCCTTCCTGTCTTTTGAAGTCCCAAATCCCCTTTTCTCCTCAGCTCAATATGGCATCTGAACCTCAACTGCCTAATTTGTCCTTGGGCCCTGTAGTCTTAAGGAATCCTTCTACATACATACATAATTAAACTTGATAATTTTCTCCTGTTAATCTGTTGTATGCCATTTTAATTATTTCACCAGCCAGGAGAACTAAGAGGGGAATGAGAGGAAATTTTACCCAACCCCACATATTGTTCTAGGTACTTTATGCACATTAACTCTTTAGAAAAAAAAAAAAAGAATTAAAGTTTATTGCTGTGATAATTGGTAGCAAAGTTACATAAATTTCAGGTGTGCAGTTCTGTAATATGTCATGTATATATCACATTGTGTGTTCACCACCCAGTCAGTTTTCTTTCCATCACCATATATTTGAACACATTAACTCTTGTAATACATCTGCCCCATAAGGTAGTGTGCTATTATTCATATCCTCTGGTTGAGGAAAATGAGGCTTAGTAATTTGATCATAGTTACAAAGCTAGTAAGTGGGGTGCCGGGATAGGAATTAGATGATCTGACATCTGAGTTTAAGCCTCATGATCCTTTACAGTAATCCTGCAGGATTTTAACATACTGATTCGGAGTCTAGTTTTCTCTCGTTTGTTTTTCTATTTTTTCTAGCTCCGACTCCAGCCAGCACGATCTGGCCTGACATTACAGGAAGGATTTATTTTTGTCCATTCTGTGCCTCACCTAGGTTTTCTGCTCACTCAAAGTGAAAGCAGGGAAAAAGAACACAAACGTGTCATGATCCGTCTTTCTCTCTTACCTCTCAACTCTGACACCCAGCCTGCATTTGCTGACATAGCTCCAAGAGAGGCAATTCTCACCCCAAGTGCAGATTTCATTGCTGGCTCTGTTGGCTTCAAAGATCCAGCTGGCCTTCTGCTCCCCAGCACTAATCCATGGCAATCACATACCCGGATCCGCACGATGGAAATGCTCCTGACTCAAGTCATAATTAGAAAAGAACGTTGCTCCTGAACTCGAGGTTACTAAGCAATGGATTAAGAATCAATTGGATGTTATTGGCTGCATATCCTGGCCTGCCCCTGCATCCATGTTGCTTGTTATGGAGGCTCTTGGCTACTTTTCTTTGTGTCCATCTGCTAAGATGGCAACACGCCCTCTTGTTCTGTATTTGGATTCTTGCCTATGGCCATGGCTGCCAGAACATGACAGACAGCTGCAGATCAACAGAAGTGTTAGAGCTTTTCTAGCTATATCTTCTCTGGCAGCCACAGACCTTGTAAGACGTGATGCACACCTGTTGTATGTCATCTGCCAAACAACATAACTATTTGAAAATGGAATTAAGGGAAGGCAGCAGCCATGAAGACAGGGTTTACCACAGGTGAAACTTGGAGTGTCAAAATCCCCCATATCTTTAATGGGAGAACAGGTCCATGCCAGGGGGCACAAGGAACGTTCAGCAGAGCAAGGGGTGCTGAGTGATTGTGAAACTTCAGGCAAGCACAGACCATGGAATAGCAGGTTTTCCTGTGAACCTTCTCAATATGGGCAACTTGCCAGAAGCAGAATCCAACAAGGTCAAGAGAAGTCTATGTAATGAACTCATTGACCTTTATAATAGGAAAAAAAAAAAGTGAAGGATCTAAAATCTCACTCTTGTGTCTGAAGCCTATGGAAAATGTTCTCCTGCAGCATTAGTTCTAGTCATTTGAAGCTCAGACACGTGCACTCATGTATAATTGCTCGAGAGTTTCCTTATTTTATTGTAAGACGTAGAAGAGATCTGAATGGATTGCAGAGGAGATAGCATTTTGGATACTCTTTAGTCAAGTCAACATTTATGAGCATCTACTACATGCTGAATATTTTATATGAATACATACATTTACTCTTCACACCAACAGCTCTATGGAATAAACATCTTTACCCCATTAATAATGTATAATAATTATTTATTAATATATTCTTATTATTAATTCCAGTAACCTAAAGTCATTTTATAAGGTTATTTAACATTTTTGACCCCTAGGTATGCAAACTTGAAGCTTAGGAATAACCAAGGAATTTACTAGGTATAGGTAGAGTGTCAGGCAGATTTAGAGTAAATTTATTTAACAATTCTGTTCACATAAGTGGGAATATATTTTGTAGGTTTCTGAGTGAAAAGAGAGTTTTTGATGTTGCATATAGGTTAGATTTTAAGTTTTATATTGGTAAGGATCATGTCTGTCTTGCTCATTATTATAGCCTTAGTGCCTAGCATAGGAATTAAACATTGAATGTATTGAACAAATAAATAAATGAATGGTAGGATCAGAGAGAATTGGCAATATTGCTAGTTTATTTATTGTAAAATCAATGTTCTCTACACATATGCGCATGCACACACACACACACACACACACACACACTCACACTCACACACTCACGCTCACACACTTTTTTCCCAGGAGAAGGTGCTGAGGCTAGAGAGACCCATTAGGAAGAAACGATAATTGTAGTCCAGGTCAGAGAGAACAAAGGCATGAGCCAAGCCTGTGAAAGTGGGACAGAGAGCAAGAACTGATGTACTAGTATCTTCTGAAGAAAGCTTGAAGAGATTTGTTTACCCATTAAATGTGTGTTACAAGGGCAGATATGAGAGAGGAGGAGCGGTTTAGGGTAACTCCAAGGATTCCAGTAGATGCCCTGGGAGGCAGATTAATGTCTTGAAAATAAGCATAAAATACCTTGAACTGTTTTGAAAAAGGAATACTTCTCAAAACTCAGTCTCAGCCCTGGAGGGCTCAGACATCAGTCCAGAATGTGGACGACTTGAGTCCCACGTGGCCTTCTTTCCTCTGCTGCCATTCCTCAGCCCATCAGAGCCAGAAATTCTCAGAACATAGCACCCGCATACCTTGAAGACATTGCACGTTCAGCTCCAACCCATCACAATAAAGCGAGTCACATGAATTTTTTGGTTTCCCAGTGTATATAAAAATTATATTTACACTATACTGTAGTATATCAAGTGTGCAATAGCATTATGTCTAAAAATGTACACACCTTATTAAAAATACTTTATTGCTAGAAAATGCTAACCATCATCTGAGCCTTCAGCGAGTCCTAATCCTTTTGGGTGAAGGGTCTTGCCTTCATATTGATGGCTGCTGACTGCTCAGGGTGGTGGTTGCTAAAGGCTGGGGTGGCTGTGGCAATTTCTTAAAATAAGATAATAATGAATTTTGTCACATTGATTGACTTTTCCTTTCATGCTGTTTGATAGCATTTTACAGATAGTAAACCTTGTTTCAAAATTGGAGTCCATCCTCTCAAACCCTGTCGCTGCTTTATCAGTTAAATTTATGTAATATTCTACATCCTTTCTCGTCATTTCAGCGATTTTCACATCATCTTAACCAGGAGTAGTTTCCATCTCAAGAAAACACTTTCTCTGCTCATCCATAAGAAGCAACTCCATATCCATTTAAGTTTTGTCATGAGATAACAGCAATTCAGTCACATATTGAGTCTCCACGTCTCATGCTGATTCTTTTGTTATTTTTACCACATCTGCAATTACTTTCTGCACTGAAGTCCGGAACCTCTTAGTCATCCATGAGGGTTGGAATCAGCTTCTTCCAAATTCTGTTAATGTTGATATTTTGACCTCTTCCTGTGAACACAAGTGTTTTCAATGGCATCTAGAATAGTGAATCCTTTCTAGAAGGTTTACAATTTTACCCACATCCAGTGGAGGACTCACTATCAATGTTATTGAACCCCAACATATGAGTTCACCCACCTGCACACACTGACCGAAAGAAAACAAATGAGCAATTTGTAGTGAAGAAAGGCATTTATTAGGATTAATGTCAATCCAGAGTTTGTGCTTATGCTCTAAAAGACCTACAGTGACAGGTGACCAATAGGCTGTATAGGGCATAATCACAAGACACCATGGTTTAGGGTGTTTGGGTTGTGTGGGTGCTGATTCCTTGAAGGTGAGGTATGGATAGTAAATAATTTCCTCAGGTTTGGAGGAGAGTTCTGGGGTCAGCTCCAGCATCCCTCTGTCTGGTTTCATGGAGAGGTAGCAGAGGAGGTTGTTTTGCCTTTTGGCTCAAGGAGCTGAAACATAATTTAGGTCAAGTTGTTAACTTTGGCCTGCCAGAGGCTCAAACCTTGTGACCATTAGTCAGGACTAGGCTGTTGTTTTTGGCTGCCTCAGGGGTTCGGATTATCAAGGGGAAAGGTCAAGTTCTGTGAAATGTGCAGAGAGAAGAGGAAAAAAAAATGATTTCTAAAGCCACAGTCACAAATCAAATCAGAATTACGAGGACCCTCAGTTTCATTGATGGCAGCTAGCCTTACAAAATGTATTTCTTAAATAGCAAGACTCGAAAGTCAAAATTTTTCCATGATCCTTGGGCTGCAGCATGGATGTTTTATTCGCAGGCATGAAAATAAACTAACCTTACTGTACATCTCCTTAAGACCTTTTGGGTGACTGGGTCCATTACCATTGGTCAGTAATATTTTGAAAGGAATCTTTTGTTCTGAGCAATGGATCTCAACAGTAGGCTTAAAATATTCAGAAAATCATGTTGTAAACAGATGTGCTGTCATCCAAGCTTTGTTGTTCCATTTATAGAGCACAGGCAGAGTAGAATTAGAATAATTTTTAATGGCCCTAGGAGTTTTGGGATGGCTTCAAATTTAAGTCATCAGTTGCAACAGCCCCTTACAAGAGAGTCAGCCTGTCCTTTGAAGCTCTGAAGTCAGGCGCTGACTTCTTCTCTGTAGCTATGAACGTCCTAGATGGCATCTTCTTCCAATTTAAGACTGCTTCTTCTACATTGAAACTCTGTTGTTCAGCGTAGCTACCTCATTAATTATCTTAGCTAGATCTTCTGGAGAACTTGCTGCAGCTTGCACTTCAGCACTTGCTGCTTCACCCTGCACTTTTATGTTATGGAGACAGCTTCCTTCCTTAAACCTCATGAAACAAATTCTACTAGCTTCCAAGTTTTCTTTTGTAGCTTCCTTCTCTCTCTCAGCCTTCATAAAATGGAAGAGAGTTAGATTCTTGCTCTGTTAGGCTTTGGCTTAAGAGAATGTTGTAGATGGTTTGATAGTCTATCCAAACCACTAAAACGTTCTCCACATTAGCAATAAGGCATTTCACTTTTTTATCATTTATGTGTTCATCAGCGTAGCACTTTTAATTTTCTTCAAGAACTTTTCCTTTGCATTCACAGCTTGTCTAGCTGTTTGGCACATGCATCCTAGCTTTCAAACTATCATGGCTTTTGACATGCCTTCCTCACTAAGCTTAATCATATTTCTAGTTTTTTGGGGTTTTTTTAGATTTTTTTTTAATCTTTTCTTTTAATTGGGGAATTGGGGGATGGGAACAGTGCTGGGGAATTGGGAGAAGGGGAACAGACAAGCTGCTGTCCTTTTGTGCTTCAGTCTAGTTGTGGAGGACGTCGCGTCACTGGCCCAAGTTGGCACCATCATTGCGCTCTTCCCGGGCGAGGCAGATCAGTCGCCGGCTTCTGGACAGCCGCTCACTGTGGCTGCTGGCCGCTCACGCTGGCTGCTGGCTACACACGGTAGCCCATGGCAACCCACTGCAGCAGGGGCTGCAGCCTACGCCGTCGCTGGTGACTCAGGGCAGCCCAGCTCCAGGTTGAGCTGTTGTTCAGCATCTTAGCTGTAGAGGGCAGTGTCACTGGCCCTCATATGTGGGATCTGAACCTGGGCCCTCTGGCGTCCCCAGCCAGCTCTTAACCATCGTGCCACTCGGCCGGCCTATATTTCTAGTTTTTTATTTAAAGTAAGAAAGGAGCTGATCTTTCTTTCACTTGAAAGTTTAGAGGCCCTGGGATGGTCATTAACTGGCCTAATTTCAATACTGTGGTGTACCAGGGATTAAGGAGGCTTGTGAAGAGGGAGAGAGATGGGGAATGGCTGGTCAGTGGAGCAGTCAGAAAACAATATTTATCAATTA